TATTATAACATTATGATTATTAGTTAATAACTAGTTTTTAACTAGTTATTAACTAATAATCATAATATTATAATAATGTTTTTTAAAAAAATATTATTATAACATAATAACTACTAATTATAAACCTATAACAAACTAATTTTCTAAAAAAAATATTTTAATTGGGATATTTATAACTATAACTAGTAGTGATAATCATCGGTGTATAATTAGCCAATAAATTTGCAGAATTAGGTATAACATGCAAATTAATTTGTATAACAAAAATAAAGATTTTTTTTAAAAAAATGACAATATCTTCAGAATTTGCCTATGAAACTACCTTCAATGTTCTAATAAAAAAAATTTCTTGCTAAATTTTGCATATATCTAATATCTTGCTAAAATCCCAGGCCTTATTCTAACACTAAAGTAAATAAAATAAAATCTTTATTTAGTTTATTATTATTGGCTAATTATATACCACTGGTTATTCAAAGTTATTTCCTTTTAATTATATCTTAAAAACATTATTTGCTAATTATAAACTTATAATTGATTTTTTACAAGTTTCTGTATAGTATTAGTTTTCGATTACTGATTTAAGGATTTCTGTATTGTAATTTATAATATTATATAAAATAATATTTTATATTATATATTTTATATTTTATATTAATTAAATTATATTATTATTTAAATATATTTTATTAAAATAGAATAGTTAAAAGTATATACTACTGTAGTATATATCATATATCAGTATATATTATATGTTAGTATATATTATATATTATTATATACTGTATACTAGTATATATTATATACTAGTATATGCTTATACCAGTGTATACTATATGCTAGTATATAATATATTTATGTATACCACCTGCTATATAGTTGTATGCCAATATATACTACCTGCTACATGGTTGTATACCAATATATACCACTTGCCATATGGCTGTATACCAATATATGCTACTTTAACAGATATATAAAAGAAGATTTTTCTCAGTTTCTACAAATACTCTACAATTTCTACTTTTTCTTAAATATTGAATTGCTATTTAATAACTGTCACAGATCATAATAAAATCGGATTAAAATGAAATGAGGGGTTTCTATTTGACCCTCTAAAACCCATTTATACTTGTTTATTATAAAACCTGCTTCTAAACCCTAATCCTAACCCCAAAAAAATGCTAAAAAAATGCACCCCCAAAATTTGTATTTTTCAGTGGCTTGTCTATTTTACACTATCGCTTATTTCATTTTAATCTGATTTCATTTTAATCTGCCACAATAACTGTATACTTCTCTTCTAACATGAATTAGATTACCTATACTACTTGTATTACCTGTACTATCTGTGTAACCTATTTGTATGACCTTATTACTAAAATAAACTATTCTATATCTGTCAATATTGTTTTATATTTTTGAGTACCACTATAACAATATATGTTACGGATTATCGTGAAATCGGATTATCGTGAAATTTGGGGGTCTCGATTTGAAAATATAAGCCCTACCAAAACCCACCTATACTCTTTTATTAATAATTCTAACCCTAAATCCTAACTTAACTATAAAAAAAAAGCCTACAAAAAAGGCCCTAAAAATTTTTAAAAATCGTATATAAAATAGATCCAAATTTCACGATAATCCGATTTCACGATAATCCGTGACAGTAATTAACTCGCGAGTTAAATTTTCATGATTCGAAGAATGATAAATTCGAGTTATTCGAGTCACGAGTTGACGAGTCCTGTCATTAACACATATTATATATAATTGTAATTTTTAAATTTATTTTTTACAGAAAAATTATATTATAAAATTATGGATTCTTGTATATACAACATAATTACTACGTGCTTGTAACAAAATAGATATACGTATTACGTACGTAGAATACGTATACGTGCAGTATATAGTATACAGTATTATCATTCGAAAAAACACTTTACCATAAAAGATGCGATTAACATTGCACAAATATGGTAAATCCCCTGACCGCACTATTAGATGATTCTTGAAACACTTTTCTTTTATAACCTGACAACTCGATCAATTGTTAAGTTTTTACTCGCCTAAATATTGGCCAATTTTCATAGTATAACTGATTATAATCCTTCATTATAATCAAGGCGATTGAAAGAATATTATTTGACGGATATCGTTTCAGTGGCTTTAGAATGATTAAAAACCGGATCAGAAATATTACATTTCGTAAATGAACTATTTACGCACAAAATCAAAAGAATGTGAATGATGATAAAATGAATAACTACATAAAAATAAATTACAGCGGGGCTAAAGACCAATGAATATTACAAATAGCAGTATCGAATAGTAAGAAAGTGTAGACACAAACCAATAATAATTCTATGAAATAACCAAAAAGTCAAACAATAGTTTATGCGCTATTATGTTTTTCCATCATCTCTACCCCGCCCCCTGGGTGCAAAGCCGTTCATGCCATTGCTAAAATGTCCACCACGCCCACCAACGTTACCTCTCGAAAAAAAACCATTCCCATTTCCACCTCTTATATTACCGGTAAACGCACTGCGGTAATGATTGTGTGTATGAACTGGCATATATTTATTCGTAAGACCATACATTTGTGAGGTCATTCGTTGTGAAGACGTTGATGAGGCTGATATATAACCATTCGATCCCAAAGATAAGTTACCATTATTACCATTACGAACTCTCATGATTGATCTCGTATTCTGCGAACCGTTTATGCTGTGATTCGCATTTAAATACATATTGTTATTTTTACTATTCCCAACACGCCCACCATAGTATGAGTTATGGTGGTTAGAATGACCATTCACCCCTAAAGATGATCGCAGATGGTTCGAATTAAAACTTATTGATCTTGAGCCAATAATCCCGTTGCTATGATTTGTTCGACTATGATCGATGAATTGCATATCTGTTAAGTTAAGAAGTGCAGATCCAGGTACAGTCATACCACGATATGGAGAACATCTATTTAAATGAATAAACTTTTAAGTTGAAAACTATATACTATTAACAAAGTCTAATATAAGATATACAAACCTATCGCCCAATGTTGAACCACTCATGAAAGAAGCGTCAAAAACCACATCAATATTGTTTCTCTCAATACCAACCACTGTACCTTTGGCTGCAATCGGAACGTTTCCAGAATCCTGGACAAATACAACACGATCACCAAGGCTAAATTTTTGTCCTTGCAAACGTGTTGAAGAGTGTGCTGGTTTCAATAATACCTTAAAATGACACCAAAACTTGGTTTGGATTAATTTTCATTTTTGTGAAGAAATAATATAAAAACAGACATTATAAATATTCATCCAACATACATCTCTTGGAACTTTTCGAACAACAAGTCTTTTGAAAAATTTTTTGTTAGTAAATTCAACTGCTGCTTGTTCTATTTTTGCTATTGCTTCCTAATAACAGTAATATAATTATGTAATTAAATAAATAAATTCTAGTTTAATAAAATCATATTGGCATTGAAATTATTTATACCTTGTCCAATTGTTCGGCATCTAATGACACTTTTTCAAAATCTCTTACTTCAACAGTTCTCAACCATTCTTTTATAGCATGAACTTTGGAAACAGCTTCTTCTTTAGGATAAAAATCTTCAGCAGAATAAATTTCTATATAATATTGAATTTAGAAGAGGCCAAATCTTCCAGGCTTATTAAAAAGTAATAAAGCATAACTACCATCTTTATGCTTCTCTTCAAGAGCTTGAATGAATTCTGGGAATTTTTC